GGAGAGTGATGTTCAAAAAGAGGAGTGTTCTTTCGGGGAGGAGGCCGGGCTGAGGCTCGGAGTCCCGTGGAGAGGCCTGCCACGGCGAGCGCTGAGCCTGCGTGCCGCAAAACATCACCCCCCCCCCCTCTCTCTCTCTCCCTCTCTCCCTCTCTCTCTCTCTCTCTCTCTCTCTCGTTCTCTGCGCGTTTTCTTCTCCTGAGCATAGGATGGGATATGACGGTAAAGGGCGGTGTATGGAACCACCTGAATTGAGTTATTGCGAAGGTGTGTCGGCCTGACAAGAAGCGTTGGACGAAGGGCGCCACGAGGGGGGTAAGGAGAGATGGGAGAGGAAAGGGGCAGGGGGGCTGTGAATGTGGGTGATGGTGTGTGTGATGTCTAGTACGTTCCGCCCCGGCCAGGCGAGAGTCCTGACTCAACGAGATTCGCGCCTTTCCACTCACCGGGCACTCCTCGTCCGTCAGAGTCGCGCGGGGAGATGGCGGCGGGGAGGGAGCCCGGCAGGTGGAGCTGGACGGACGGGCCCCTTCCTCGTCCGGCCCGTCGCCACACACGCTCTGCCGAGTGGGCGGGTGGGCGGCGACGTCCACCGGCCCGGAACGTCACCAAATGAATTCTACACACATTGTGCAAATGTTGTTTGCATCCTCGCATGGAATCTGCGCCGCGTCCCTCACACCATCAAAAACACCGGGAACTCGGCACATGACGCTGGGCCAAGCGTCATTTTATGGGAACAGTACCCTGCCTGAAAGCAGAGCGCGCGCGCGCGGTTCGCGAAAAGGGGCCATCTCATCCAAAAAGTATAAATATTCCTTTAAAAGAAAAAAAAAGACTATAAACAATTTTTGGCGTGTTATTGTTGTTGTTCTTCCTCCACGCCTGCCTCGCGGAATGAGCGAAAGCCGATAGCCGCGTAATTAATACTCATGCTGATGGATGGCGACAAGGAGCCAGGCCCGCCCGCCTGGTCCCCTCCACCCCCGCACAACACAACCGACCTTACGCCTGTCGAAAGCATTAGCGCGAGGCTGCGGTTCTAACTTCACATCTTGCTCCTTTTACATGTGATTCAAAAGTTGCTCCAGTCACAAAAATATGGCGACTGTGTCGAAACCGCGACCACACAAAAAAAAGGTAGATCGTTTTTCTTGATCGCATTATCACGGACGTGGAGGCGAGGTGGCGGTGGCGAGGTGGCCCACGCGAAAACTGTCAGATTTTTTTCTCGCTCGGGTGTCCTTGCCTGCCTATCGAATAAGCGGGCGGAAGCATTTGTAGCCGCCCCTTTAACCCCGCACCCTCCCCCTAAACCTCCTTGCAGCAGCGTGCTTGCAGGCTGAAAATTGTCATGACGGATGATAGCCTGGCAAAACTCCTCGCAAACTTTCATGGAGAGCCATCCCTCTAGCCCGCTCTCTCTATCTCTCTCTCTCCCGCACACTCTTTTTCGCTCTGACAATATAGCCGTCCTCGTCTCTTTCTCTCTCCCCCTCCTCCCTCACTTTTCTCGCATCCTTGTTCATACTCGATCATGCCAGTGTGTTCTACCCCCTCCCCACTTCGTACTTTTATTCTTCGTCTAAAAAAATTAAAAAAAAATCCTATTTCATTATTTTTTAAATAAATGTACGAGAAACTACCTTTAACACGTTGAGTGCGGCGGGGGTAGGCAATCCTATATTTGACTTCGCAGCATAATCTTTCCCGCGCAAGTTACGAGTTTCATTTACTTCAGCGTCAGCAACGTCACGCATCCGGGAGCAAGTCCGCGTTGGGAGGAAGAGGATGTAAGAGGGAGAAGGGGAGATGTGCTAACCGGGTCGCGACCCTCCCTCCGCGCGTGTCAACATGTGTATGAAAGAGTGGGAAAGAGAGAGGGAGAGAGGGAGAGAGAGGGTGGGGGGCAGGTCATGTTCGAATTGAAGGAAACAAGAAGGGAGAAATTGTTTGGTCAAACTGTTTTCGCGCGGTCGCAGGCGAGGCTTTTGCCTGCCCCTCAATCTCTTTGAGGGTGTCGTGTGGCGTGACAGCGTGATCGTGTGATCGTGCCTCTGTGTGTGTGTGTGTGTGTGT